AAAAATGAAACGACCAGGCTTGATGACTCATCCTGTAAAGAATTTATAGGTAACAATAAATCAGTTGATAATAATAGCTGTTCATAAAAACAAAATGCATTATATTTATTTAGGTAGACTACAAATCATTGATGTTATATCTTTAGAATTTAAAAAAAGTCTAACAATATGAGCTTCAATGTGATTGTTTGTAATGACAACCATTTTAAATTTAACATTGTCATTATTACAGATGTCAATAAATAATTTATTAGAATAATGTGTTTTATCATTTATTCCTAGAGAACAATACAAATCTGTAGTTACAACATTTGTAATTGATTTAGGAAGTGCATATAGTTCATCGACAACTACCGTATTTGGTACTTCATCTACAAATTTTACTTTAAAACTATCCATATATTTACCCATATATTTTACTCTCTTGTATTGTTGGTTGATATTAACAATATATAGTTGGAAAACTTCTGGGTTAGAAATAGCAAAAAATGTTTTAGTTGACTTAAGAACATCTGAGATTTTTTGTGCGCCAGATGAATTCAACCGGACTTTGAAAAAGTTAAAATTTTCAACATTGATCACTCTCACTTYGCATGGTTTAATAACTTGAATGATATTTAAATCACTGACCTCCAAGTCTATTAAACAAGTATTTTCCTTTTTTTTTACTTTCATGTATGTTGACTTACCCTTGCATTCAGCTAGTTCATTAATAAAAGCAAGATTCATGCTTTCCAGTATATGGTTACTAACATTTATTGATATATCTAAAGAGCAGTGTATCTTGACTGGAGGTGCTGTACGTAGATAATCACTAGGTTCAAACATTTCAAAACAGTTAACAAAGGTCACGCAATCAATTAAAAAACATTTATGCTCTTCAGAATCTTCATATTTCTTTATGACCCTTGCCCGATATAATTTTAAATCATAGGTACTTTTAGCTATCACTATTTGGCCTTCTTCAGGATGTAATACCGGAATCCATTTCGTCTGATTTTCGATTTCAGTTCTAATAGTTTTGCTAGTTTCATAACTTAATTCGGTTTCAACAAAAAAATTATTCATGGAAAAAATGGGTTCAACACAGACAACCTTCGTTTTAGATTTTGAGTATATTTCATTAAGCATTTTAAGTTTTGCAAGATTAATTGGATCATCAGATATGCTAGGAACAATACCATCCCAAATTAAATTGTATAAAATATCATGAACATCATTACCGTTATGTGATAATGTAACTAAATATGGATCATTGCTGMTTAAAAATGTGGCAGTTATTTTATGAGAACTGAAGAATTTATAAATATAATCGAATAAACCTTGAACTGAAAATATATTTTCATCTTCTTTTAATACTTTCTTAAAATAACAACTATATGCCATTGGTTTCAAACTGGCGAGTTCTTTTGGTAAATCTTTGTAATCTGTAACTTTTTCATTAGAAATCCCGAAATCTATAAAGGATACATTCAGTCCCAACTCAGTTATGCTTTGAACTTTAGCTCTATACCATGAACCATTGTAATGGCGAGCAGCAATTAAATTTCCTACTTTTGGAAGCTTCTTTAATGTGGAATCATATTTATCCAATTCTGAACTGATTGATTGAATATATTCATAGTTGTTTGAGTTCTGCACATGAAAATATTTTAATGAATTTATATTTGACACATGTACATTCCATACATCACCTAAAGCAGGTTTATTAACGATTGGAATATTATTTRATGAATCTATTTCTTTAGTTTGTGAGTTTTCAACAGATAATAAAGTGGAAAATTCAGTCACAACCTCGTTTGTAACATCATTTTTTAATTTTTCAACCATGTTTTTGGAATTATTTAAGTTTTCTTCAGGATTTTTTTTTCAGAAATAATGGTTTTCTCCAATAATTCCGTCCTATACTAATATTTTTAATTCCTATATATGAACATCAAGTACTTAAATTTAACAATTTTTTTATATTATTTAAAGTTTGTACACACCCACAATTTGTTTCTTCTGAAAATAGCAAGGTTTTTCTTAAAATATGGTATAGAAATGAAAATAATTTGTGTTTGTAGATACCTTTTAACAAGCTATTACTTTTTCAGTAGGTACCTATATTAAACTTTTAATAACTAACTTTTTTAATCATTTGTAATCTCAGGACATCTGTTGACTGTTACTGGCCTAAAACATAATTATAAAAGTTGTATTACACACATCACACATATTATACTTAGATTTAATCAAAATATATTATTGTTTAGTACAACAATATTCAAAATTAAAGTAATGTAAATAAAGAAATAAAATGACCCACACAAAAATAATGTTAGATGAAGGCCTAATCAATAAATATATAATTAATACATACATAAATCTGCATAAATTATTATATTATATTGTTTTTATATTTTATAGTCAAACAAGAAACTATCATACTATCATAGCTATAATAGACATAGTATAAGGAATAGGAAATAAGCTTAATGATAAGACTGATCATATTTTTTTAGGGACCATGTATAATTTAAATATTCAACCAATAATAACTCAAAGTGACATCACGCATATCTGTTTAATCTTATGCAATGCAGTATAAGAAAAAGCACAAAGTAATGGATATGCATGAAATAGTACAAAAACATGGTTTGTGTTGATCATATTTTTTATTTTATATACTATAGGCATTAAAACTTTAAATAAAAATAACAGAAACTAGAACTCATAACGTTTTATTAGGGAAAAAAATAAATATGTTCTTCCAATATATTTAAGGACGGTTTTACATATTATTATCATCCATTGATACACAACCAGTTCATAACTGTTAACRTAATTTAGAGATATTCCAAAATATTTGCTTACAAACAAAAATACCTACGCATATATAATCAAAATATTTTTTAAACTCATTTTGGTTATATCAATAATCTAATAAAAATAGTAATATGATACTTTTAGTATATAATATGATATGTAATAGGTATAAAGTAAAATCAGAAATTTTACTAAATTTCTAGGGAAATAGTCAAAGAATTTAATTTGTATGCAATTTTACAATCCACATTGACATTTAGTCAAATAATAGCAATAATAGCAAATAATAAGAATAAAACACACATATAATCCATCAGACATTGGCCTACATATTCAGCACAAAATATACACCTTACAATACCACAATAACATCAAAATCAAACTTTTTTGGATCCCCAGACATTCCAACATAATAGAAAATTAACTCGCTGATCTCGCAGCCAAAAATGCTATCACATCACCTCTATCATCGTTCATACAAATCTTTTCTTCCAGTGACATACAAATACTTATAAGTTATAGTAAAGGAATGTCAACAAAGATGGCATCAAAAGTGGACATCTTTATTACACAAAATTAAACCACATAACACTGACAATTGGTCATTTCCCTTCGAAATCCATAGAAAATTTGAAGTAATAATAACCAGACTGAAAATAGGACACACAACAATCTCCCACAATTTTCTAATGTCCAGGGAAGAACCTCCAATATGCACAACCTGCGGTGTTCAAGTAACTATCAAACACATCCTCACCGATTGCCACAAACAACAAGCTTCAACCTGCCCGAATCATCACTCTCAGAAATATTAAACAACCATCCTCAATCTATTAACAACATCATACAATTCATGTATTTTTTTCTTTTTTATATATTATATTTCTCACTGTAAACCCAATGGCCTATGTTGCCGAGGTTGTCATCAATAAAAAAAAAAAAAAAAGAATAAAACATTTTGTATTATTTTAGAAACAAAACAATATTTTCTTATTAATTTTATATTGATATTCTATATGAAATATTTTTAGTTTTGTGTCTTTTGGTATGATTTTTTTTAAACTTCAATTATAAATAAAATAAATAGGTGGCAAGTACCATTGATTAAAATATACAAATATTGTATATTTAATCAATGCAAGTACTAATAAGGAATGACAGTACAAATKAATAAAAAATTATCTTATAATAACAAATTTCTGTTAATTTTTAGTACCTAACTACTTGTAGTTAAATGTTATTATTTCGTGGCATTTACTGGAACATTCAACAGTTGTTTAAAAAATATTAACACCAGTTGGTTCGATATTGATAGAAATTAACAAAACATTTTAATTGTAAGATAATTATTTATGTAATACACATTTTTATATAAAAAATTTACRATTAACCGTGAAAATAAAATTTGCTATGACTTTTTCATAAAATATTAAATTATACAATTGAATCGAAAAGATGAGTATGTACTATGTGGGTTATGAAGTAATATAATACCATGTAATAACACTAATCACTAATAATAAATATTATGAAAAAATAATTACAAATTACAAATTTGTTTGAAAAAATATAGTAACTCAGTGTTAACCTATGAAAGTAGACAATAATAGGATAACTTTACCAGAAAATTGTTTATGTAATAGTGATAACTAGAAAATAGCTTTATTGTAATATAATAATAATTATTATTATTCAATATAAGAAACTACAGCACAATTCAATAAAAAGACAACATTTAAACATTCATTTTTTTTTGAAATAATAAGGTAGACGAGGAGGGCTAATCCTCGTCAAAGAAAATGCTTGGTCCCCAAATGGCTACTACTCTAGTTAATTATTAAGTTATGATGGCTAGCAGGACATCATATATATATAATATATCACACAACAGTTGAAAAATAATGCAGAAATTGTTTGTTGAGTGAAATGTCGAGAGGTATATTAATATATAGTAACACCATTAAAATTAAACAGATATATTTTGGAGTATTTTAGAACTTAATAATGGAGTGAATATCTTGAAATGATTATTAAAAATCAATATTACAATAATAACAGAGTATAACCTTAACTATAGAATGTATACGTACAAAAACTTGAGTTCTACAAGTACTTGTAACTTGGAACGAAATTGACTGTCTTTCGGTTTTTAATTTAAAAACTTAAAATTCGTGGCAATTCGAAATGGCTTTGAACAAAYATGAAACGAAAGACATTAACGTTTTCTGTAAAATAACTTAAATGAGCATTGATACAAGAYTGAATTACAGTAAGATAATCTGTAAGATTTACAGTGTTTATCATTATCCAATATGAAACAAATTACTGTAACTAATGTCAAACATGATTTAGCCAAACTCAGATTACTAAAACAAACAAACAAGTCGTACGCGAACCAAAAACATTAAACATTACACCACCGTGTACAAGTACATTACTAAACGGTAAATAGTAATAGTAAACACACTAAATACGACCTAACGGCGTCTAGTCGTGATAATACTATGGTTTACAAAGAGGAGAATGTGACAAGTCTACGATTCTACGAAGGACCAAGGACCAGTCCACGCCTCCAGTGCCCTCCACTGTGATAATGGAATCAAAGAACCTTTAGGCATAGAACAATAATGACTTTAGGCGAAGACGGCAGCTGCACCTGTCCTGTCCTGATGCTGCACACGGTCATTGTGCCATTGTGGCATTGTGCCTCTACTTTGAGTTTCTGATTTGTCGTGTTGAGTCATAGATATTAAACAAAATATAGATACGGCATTCCTTTATACATTCTACATACACTGTTTAGGCCAACATAACGRAGGGAGAAACGATGGTTCTCACTCGCACACATCTTCTGTGTGACAAGGAAATCAAATCATGTTAATATGTTTAATCATAGAACAGTAGTAGTTTAATATCTATGATGATAATCACTCTTGATAATAATTGTTACAATTTCATCAATTATGACATCTAGCGATTAATAATAGTTTGAATAATTATGTTAGCTTACAGATTTTTGTGCCATTAGCTTAATATCAATGTGTCGAGTGCACTCCATGATGGTTGAGTGCAGGTGCAGACTGACTGGATGCTATATTGCTACAGCATCGCTTGCMCTAAAATATATTCGATTTAAAATTTGATCTAATTTGTTTTCAATCTAATATTGTACAATTTTGTTTGAATATTTGTTGTAATTTGGTACCTTTCTTATTTTCTATATTTTATACATAGCCTACATATTTTAAATTTGCTCCACACATTTTTGTTATTTGCCCTTTAAATTATGTAGCATCCCATACCCTTTTTTACCAGTCCGCGCCTGGTTGAGTGCTACAACCTACAACTCGTTCGTTGGTAGGTAACAGTGGACCACTGTGATGTTATTAATTAATTATTATTATTACTAACTATGTTTATTCTGAATCTAGG